GACAGATATACCGCAAATGTGTCCTATGGTGTGACAGCAAAAATTTTGAAAAAAATAACTAACAATGAAGATAAATCTCTTTTATGCTATTTGTATATTATTAACAAGAAATTAATTATTAATAATGATTCATTATTGTTTTCTAAATTTTGCTGTTACACCATAGGACACAAGTACGGTATATTATGTCAACAACCCATAAATTTTTGTTGCTATATATTATATATACATACACACACACACACATTACATATTAACATAATAAAATATAATAATATAATATAATGTTCATAAAATATTACAATTCATTATTGATTAATTATAAGTATTGATTTTAATAATTATAATATAATGTTCATAAAATATTATAATTGATTATTGATTAATTATTTTATATTGATTGATTATTTTAATTATAATACAATTATTATATTATATAATATAATACAGTATAATATAATGTAATATAATTTTCATAAAATATTACAAGCTATTATTGCTTAATTGTAAATATTGATTTTCATAATTATAATATAATGATTATATTATATAATACAATGTAATATAATGTTCATTAAATATTACAATTTAACATTGATTAATTATAAACATTGCATTTAATAATAATATATAATCCAATATAATTATTATATTATATTTAGTGCTGTCAAATGATTAATCACGACTAATCGCATACAAAATAAAGGTTTTTGTTTGCATAATATATGTATGTGTACGGTGTATATTTATTATGTATATATAAATACACACACATACAGTATATATTTTGAAAATATTTACATGTCTATATTTATATTCATATAATTTATATGATAAAAAATATATTTAAAATATAAACAAACATTTTTCTGAAATATATACATGCATGTGTGTGTATTTATATATACATAATAAATATACACAGTATACACGCATATATTATGCAAACAAAAACTTTTATTTTGGATGCGATCAATTGCGATTACTCGTTTTACAGCACTACTTATATAGCAGTCATTCTTGAGACGTGGGACAAAACGGGTCCAGCAAGGGTAACTGCTATTAGCTTTAAAAAATACAAATATTTTTTAAATTTTAAATGTCATGAGGTTGCTTATATGATTAAACTCACTGGGCTCCAATGTTGTCAAAATATTTTTTTGTGTCCACAGAAGACAGAAAGTCATAGAAGTTTGCAAGGAAATGAGGGCAAGTAAATGATGACAGAATTGTTCATTTTCATGTGAACTGACACTTTAAGCAGGCAAATCTTTGTGGTGCCGCCGTAACTCGGCATAGTTTTGGTTTGCAGACTCTCATGCTGAGGCTTTAAACATTAGTTCTGGTTTATGTGTTGTTTCTGCGCACCACTGTACCTCAGGAGCTACATGGCTTCTCTCTCTCAGTCTGAGCTCCTCCTCGTTATTCCCCCCATGATCCCGCTGTGTGGAGTCCAGATGTGCAGGTCTGTGGAGCATTCTTGAGCGAGTGGGGTTCAGGCCGGGCTCGAGGAGCTCCACTGAGGGGGAGGGAGCGCAGATTCTATTAAAGGGTCAGATGTGTGGCAAAACAAGGCAGGCCTCATCCCTCTTAACTGGGTTTGTTGGTCTTTTCAATAACCAGAGCGGCGATGACTGTCTGCAATGACGACATTAACCAGACCTGTTTCACAAACTGAACGTGCTACTCGTGTGACTGTAAGTGAAAGCCATGGCGGGACGCCCAACACATCACTCATTGCCCTGCCTGCAGGTCCAGGATTGGAGAAGCATGCTTGGAGGGACTTTAGAGATTTTTTTTTTTTATTCAATTTGCATTTTTTATATGAGTTTTTTTCATTATTATTATTTAGTTTTCAGTAGTTGTTGTCTATATTAATAATAATAATAATAATATAGAGTTTGTTGTTGTTTTATTTCATTGGATTTCAGTAGTTGTTTTCTCTATATTATTATTAATTTTGAGTTTTTTTTTTATTTTGTTGGATTTCAGTAGTTGTTTTCTTTATATTATTATCATCATCAATATAGTTTTTTTGTTGTTGTTGTTGGTTTTCAGTAGTTGTTTTCTCTATATTATTGTGATTAATATATTCAAGTTTTAGTATTTTATGGCTGCTAAATTAATGTTTAACAGTGTTAATTTTCTAGTTTTTTTTTGCCATCTAGTGGTATTTTCAAATTTAGTAAGATTGATTTATTTGAAATGAATGCTTTTATTAATCAAGGATGAATTAAATTGTTAAAAAATGATAGTAAAGAGATTTATAATGTTACAATTTTTTGATAAATTTTTCTTTGTTTTTGTTTTTTTGTTCTTTTAAACTTTCTATTCATCAAAGAATCCTGCAAAAAAAATGTATCACAGTTTCCACAAAAATATGAAAAAGCATGACTGTTTCCAACATTGATAATAATAACAATAAATGTTTCTGGAGTAGTAAATCAGCATATTAGAATGATTTCTGAAGGATCATGTGACACTGAAGACTGGAGTAATGTTGCTGAAAATTCAGCTTCGATCACAGGAATACATTACATTTGAAAATATATTCAAATATAAAAACAGTTATTTAAAATTTTACAAATATTTCACAATATTACTGTTTTTACTGTACTTTTGATCAAATAAATGCAGCCTTGGTGAGCAGAAGAGACTGCCTTCAAAAACAAAAAACTCTTACTGACCCCAAACTTTGTCTGTATATTAAGATGGAGTAAGAGAAAGCATTTCAACATAAAAAAGAAACTGTGACTCTCAACATCATAACTGAGACCAAACAACTGTGCTATGGCCTCTTCATTCAATATGGTTTTGCGTGTATGTTTCTGTGTACCATTGATTAAAAAACCTCTGCTGAGGCTGGAAGCGAGGAGATTGTAGACACATCTAGTGATCACACACCGAGGATGCGAGGAGCTTGTGAATGCAGAGCGCTGATGTGATGTAACCGTGGAGGTCACGCTGCGTAGGCCTCACGCTGTCTCTCTCTCCAACACATGGTCCTCCTGACAAACACAGCCCAAGAGAGGAGCCTAATGAAGCCTTGACACGTGTGAGAGCTTCAGTTGTGTGCATCACTGGTTTGTCTTGAGGATAAGCGTCAAGTCTCTTATGTTCACCAAGGCTGAATTAATTTGATTAAATATGTAGTAAAAACATTAAAATAGTGAAATATTATTACAATTTAATATTATTACATTTATTTGAATATATTATAAAATGTAAGTTATTCCTGTGATGCAAAGCTGAATTTCAGCATCATTACTCCAGTCTTCAGTGTCACATGATCCTTCAGAAATCATTCTAATATGTTTCTTATTATTATCAATGTTGAAAACAGTTGTGCTGCTTAATATTTTTGTGTAAACTGATACTTTTTTCAGGATTTTTTCATAAGTAGAAAGTATTTTCCATCATCTTTTAATCAATTTAATGCATCCTTGCTGAATAAAAGTATTATTTTTTTCCTCTAACAAAAGGAAAATAAATAAAATCTTACTTCAGATTGACAGATTCCTTGTGGCTGTGATTGTGAGTAAAGGTCAAAGATACCGCCCCATGCTGGTTTGGATGTAACATCACATCCTGAATGGTTAAGAAATGAAGTGGACATCATGCATTACAATAGTAACAGGTGTAACTATAGGTAGGCATCATAACAGGGGTTCAATTGTGTATTACAAGAACATATATAAGGTGTATTACGTGGCATTATAATCATTTACCGTCATAATGCATAATATTAAAAGTCTTTCAATTAGCATAATCCATATCCTCTCATGTTTTATCATGTGTGTTACCCAAACAATTTGTTAAAACTGCATTTCTGGTGTTGTTACACTCACAAAACATGTTTTTAGGGAGGAAGTCATGTCGCAAGTAGTTGGGAATTTGGTCTAATTGATTCAACATGCTTGCTAGTAGTCACACGGCTACGAGGGGGGCCTCGTAACACGACACCGCCGTGCCTAGATGTTTTCAGCTCGGGAAATTTAAAGGGGTCATATGATGCCCATTTTCCACAAGTTGATATGATTCTTTAGGGTCTTAATGAAAAGTCTGTAACATAGTTTGGTTAAAATTTCTCAATGGTAGTGTAAAAAACACAGTTTTTACCCTGTCACAAACAGCTCTTTCAGATCAAGCTGTTTTTGTAGCATTTCCCTTTAAATGTTAATGAGCTCTGCTGACCCCGTCCCTCTCTTCAGAGCTGCTCTCAGAGAGACTGTTTACTTTAGCCGCATTCATTGTGAAACTTACTAATTAGCACATTATTAGGAAAGGCGATTTGCAAAGATTCATTACAAAACATTATACTCACTTCTTCTGTAGATGAGGCTGGATCACGAATGATTAGCGCGAACATAGACGCATTTAGGCAGATCGGGGGCACATTTCCTTCAGAAACAAACGAAATCCACTGCGTTATCAGCGGCTCAGATGTCAGGAGTAAATGACGACTGCTATGTTCATTATTACATCCAACAACAGAACACCTCAATCACTTAGGATTCATTCTTGTCTACATCTGCTCCGGCGGTTAAACAATGGCGGACTGATGACAGCTCACTCAGGGCGGGTCTAAGGTAAGACACCAGTCCATTCTGTGCTGAAACACTACTGTCAATCAAACTATCGTGGGAGGGGAGGCATCTGAGATCGAGAAAGGGGAAAACATTTAACTAGATTTAAAAAAAAAAAAAAAAACCCAGTGGATTTTTAGCATTATAGCGTGGTTGTGTACACACACTGCCAACACACATTTCAGTTCAAACAACTTGTAAAAGTGCATGTAGCATCCTATGACCTCTTTAATTGGTTGTGAATAATGCTGAAGTGAAACATTTTCGTTTTGGAGTAACTTTTTTGAGGACTAATAGACTTAACAGATGTTATATAGTTAGAGCTGACTCGTGCCCAAAATACAAGAGCATTTCACGATCGGTTTGTATGCCGGAAAATCCATATGATGTTCATACGTGTGTATGTGTTTCCAGTCTCCTCCTTGCTCTGATCTGTGCACTTCCTGTGTTTCCTGCTGGGGGTGAAAGGCCCGTGTCGGTTTGTCTATCTGCAGAGCTGGGGGCCCCTCTGTCGTCTGAGTCCCGCGTCGTGTCAACGGCTGCAGGTGGTGCTGTTGTGTGGAGCGTGTCTGTGCTGGACTGATAACGTGGGTGTGGGGCTGTGGAGCATCATCAACATACACAAACGCACATTATAAACGTGTGAAGAACAGCTATGCAGCAAATACACCAACCACGTGAAGTAATGCGCATATAGTTTAGAATCGTATGAATTGAATCAATTATAGTTCCTATTAGGTGCATTAATGATTCTTTTAGGTCTTTTTTGGCCTTTTTCATATATCCTGAACTATATATCAGAAATAGCTTTATTGCCAGTTATGTTTACCAGTGTTGGGGAAAGTTACTTTTAAAAGTAATGCATTACAATATTGCATTACTCCCTAAAAAAAGTTACTTAGTTACTTTTTATGGAAAGTAATGCGTTACATTACTTTTGAGTTGCTTTTTAAATTTGGACAGGGCTTGCTTATTTGTTTTTAATTGAAAAAAGTTCTTCTTTTACAAATGTAAAAACCCTTTTCACAATAAAAGTGAAATGAATACACCTCAGGCTGAAGGAAATGTAAATTCATGTCTGTTCAGTAGAGGGCGCAGCTCAAACAAATTGATTACGTAACTGATTACGTTAAAAAATTGGGTTACGTAACTCTACGTTACTTGTAATGCGTTACTACCCCCAACACTGATGTTTACACATACAAGGAATTTGTTTTGATGACAGAAGCTTTCACAGCGCAACAGAATGACAGTGACAAGATACAGATAATAAAAAGAATAAAAAAGAACAAGTTAATATTACACAATACTTAACGAACAAACCAATGTGGTAGCATTTCATTCATTTATTTTTATACAGTACTACTGAACTTCTGTTAATTCACTCTTTAGAGTCATTTATTTGGGAATTGGACCACACTGGTTGTGTTGTGCTGAATGTATTTGATTCTCTAAAAAGAAGCAACTCATTAGATTGCGAATCAGACTGCACTAGTTTCATAGTACTAAATGTTTTTGATTCATGAAAAAGAACCAGCTCATTAGAGTCATTTGATTGAGAATTGGACTGCACTAGTTACGCTGTAGTGAGTGGTTTTGATTCACTAGAAAGAATCATGTCATTCAAGTCATTTGTTCAGGAATCAGACTACGCTTGTTGTACAGTATGTTTTTGATTCTTTGAAAAGAAACTGATCATTAGAATCATTTGATTGAGAATTGGACTACACGTTTTGAGGTGTACTGAATGTTTTTGATGCACTAAAAAGAACTGACTCATTAACTGAGTCAACTGAGTCATTTGTTCGGGAAACAGACTACACTGGTTGTGCTGTACTGAATGATTCTGATTCACTAAAAGAGCCGGCCCATTCAAACCGACTCATTGGAATCATTTGTTCAGGAATCAGACTACAATGTTTGCACAGTTCATAAGAGTCATTCATTCTGTAATCAGCATGAAAAACGCAGTGGTGGACAGTACTGGAGTAGTTTTACTTCGTTATTGTACTTAAGTACATTTTTCAAGTATCTGTACTTTACTGGAGTAGTTTTATTTTGAGTAACTTTTACTTTTACTTCACTACATTCCAAAGCATAAGATCGCACTTTTTACTTCACTACATTTCATAAAACATATCGTTACTCCTTATAATATATCACGTGCTCCGACACGCGAATAATTTTAACCATTTATACATCCACAATATACAATTATAAACCTTTATACTTCCAGAAAATACCCTCAATTTTCCTATAATATATAAAATGACAGTCTAAGCCAAGGCACTTCATCTGATCCTATGTTAAAAAGCATTTATTTTAGTTTTGCTTTCCACATATAATCACTAAATTGCACTAAAGTGCACAATGTTTCTTTTGGGGTTTCTAAAGTACTTCTTGTCTGAACATCCTCTGTCTGTCATGTGTCTTAGAAGTGTTTCAATCTTGAAGTTCTGATATAGTAGCATATAAGCATATATGTTTTCAGACATATCAGTTTTGGAAATGCTGTAATCTGTTCTTCCTACAAACAATGTGCGTTTGTCTCCAGCCAGTCAGATCAACTTACATACGGCTGTCAGTCAAACGACTCTCATCCCAACAAACAGGTCAAGCCACAGGAAACACAGACAGAGACACAGACATTAACCATTTGTCTGGAAACTGATCCTCCGAGCTCTTAAAACGTTTTTTCACAAAACTGTATCATTTGCATTTTCAAGCATAATAGATCGCATGCCTGACTGTGCCATTATAACAGTTTCATTCACGAAACGCTTTAATCGCTTTTATCCGAAACAATCTTATTGTCTTTAAAATAAAATAAAAATCAGTCTCACTATACACTGTAATATGTGAAATGTGAATGAAACATTATCTCAAGGAGGTTTTTTTTACATAACTAACCCTTAAAATGTATAACACACACACACACACACACACACACACATACATATTGTTTGTGTTTTTGCCATCACTCTTAATCAGGGGTGTGAAGTAACGAATTACAAATACTCACGTTACAGTAATTAAGTCGTTTTTATCAGTAATTGTACTTTTTTGAGTAGTTTAAAAATTGTGTACTTTTACTTTTACTTTTACTTGAGTACATTTTAAGTGATGTATCGGTACTTTTACTCCGCTATTTTCCTCCGTTTGTGGTCGTTACATGCTTATTTTAATTTTATTTTTATCCATCAACGTGACTGGATAGATAGTAATAGGCCTGGTGACTTTCGTCAAATCAAATTGTGCACAGAAAACTTTAACCGCTAACTGTTTATCATGGCTGCTGGAAGCGCATTCTTCAAGCATCAATTCAGTCACATCTTCCTCTAACTTAATGTTACGGTAAATTTCGGATTTCTGCTTACTAAATGATTTGTATATAGGCTATGCTTGCCTATCTACACGGCCTGAAATTTGGTGTGAGGTTGCGGGTATTGCATACAGTATTATGTGTTAACTAAGTTTGAGCGCGTGATGCGCACTGTGAAATTGAGGACCAATCTGTACCTTATTGATGACCCGTGGCGTTAATATACTGCATCTGTGCCAGCGCGTGATGTAATAAAACTGCAGCTCGTTAATAAACGTTTTTTTTTTTATCTTAATCTATTTTATACAATCCGCCTTCAATTAGTAAGTGCACTCGCGCATATACAATTTTCAAGTTCAACACTTTTTGTTCCATTCAGTTGTGGATGCTGCTGATTCACCGAGACCGCCGCGGCTCAGCAGAGAGACGGGTGTGTGTGTGTGTGTGTGTGTGTGCGCGCGCGTTCCTTTTAGTTTATTAAATAGTTCAATCGTCTCTGCTCTGGATGCATATAGGACGTGTCCATTCGATTTGGTCAGATGCTGAATGAATTTTAACCTTCATATCAAGCTATAAAAACTAAAAGAAGGATTGCAATGCAATGGCTTGTTTAATTGTGACTTTTACAAACATTGAACTGGATTCTTATTCTTATTCTTCTATTAAACCATGGCCTCCATGTTTTTAGGGTGCGATAAGTGGTTTTCAGGGTGTTTATTTCCATCTTCTTTTGGAGTTATGAACAGAAAGGTAAGAATTTCAAAAAGAAAAAAAAAAAATATGAGCACTAGTAATTGTGATGCATGAGCATACACCACCAGATATGCGGGAGTATGTCATCTTGTAACCTGTGAAAAATGATTGTGGTTTCTTTCTGTGGTGACGTGACGAGTATTTTTGCTCATGTTTGAGAGTTTCTCCTCTGGCAGGCTGATAATGCGTCACGTGCTGCTGTTATTCACACATCCAGCATCTTTCTGTTCTTCTGCTGGCCTTGCGGTCAGTTTTTCACATTGTCAAACAGCGTCCTTCGTGGTATTGTTGTGTATTTTTCCACTCTCCGTCTTGGAAGAATGGCAGATTTCCTGGCTTGGTTCTTGTTATTGGTTGGTCGTGGCATTTGTAACCTTCCATTACACATTTTTATGAGGAAAACTCGTGTATTCAGATCACAATGGTGGAATTCATTGTGAAAGTAACCCTGTCGTTATGTTTTCAACAATATAGCTCACAAATGCATTTCATTTTGTGTTCATTATCATGATTTCTGAGTTGTTTAAGCAGTGGACTGGTAACCAGGATGGTTGATGGCTGATATAACAGCGATTTTATGCAAATAACATTTATTTGCATTTACAATTGTTCATAGCGTATGATCCTTATTCAAAATGAATACAAGCATGTGTAATAAATAAGATGTTATTTAATTAATTATTTTTAAATGAACACAAATTTTTTCAAGTCCCCAAAATTTACCTGAAATTCATTCATTAACTTTGATGAATTCTAGGTGCAGTTAACACTTTTAATCAGCCAATCAAATAATGGTCATCTGCTAAATGAATCATTGTATATACAGAGCTGGGTAGATTACTTATTGTTAGGCTAGATTACAAATTGTAATCCATTACTGATCCCAAATTACATGACAAAAATGATACTAAGTAATGTAATCCATTACATTACATCTACTTTTAGATTACTTTTGATCTCATTTTTCATATTGATTTAAATAGGATAATCTTACCATATGTACCATATTGACATAAAAATACAAAGAGTAAGAAAATATATTCCATTTGTTGCTATAACAACTAGGGTTGTGACGGTGAGGAAATTTTCCCACCGGTTAATCGAGTGACAACACCGGTAATACCGGTATCACCATTGGGGTGGGGTGTTTCCCTCTTTTCTTCGCTTTCAAATTGCTTGTAAAAGTGCCGTGCGCATTTTACTTTCACTTTCAAATTAGCAGCAATTCGGCGTTGATTCAATTCAAACAACAACAACCTCAAACTCATAGAACTTTTATTAACAAAACAAATAAAAATACACCATATATGCCTAATAAAATAACAAATTACTTAGGCTACACAAAGTTTAAATAGGTATATAAAACTGAAAATCAGCAAACACTGTGGAACCAAATAAGAAACATAGAATGTTTATTAGCAAAACGAATAAGAAAGCTTGGAGGCACGGCATATACACCTTGATGTAAAATAAAATAAATAAAATACACAACGTATAAATAAAGTAATCAGCAAACACCGTGGAACCAAATGAATAAGAAACTAATGTTTAAAAAAACTTCCAGTCAATAGGCTTTTCCAAATCTAAAATATTGCCAAACAGGCGCTTTTGCATTTCCTTTCTAAACAATCTTCTGCCATCGTCTTGTCTTTCTCACCTCACTCTTGTCAGTCAGCTCGACTCACTCTCCTCACGTGATAAATCAAATCTGACTCCTGCTCCGTGGTGCACTTTCGTTCACGCACGGTTCGGCACGCTGCATTGTACGTTTAGTTTTTAAAAGTGTCTGTCCTCTAACTGAACTAGGCTAAATGATTTTTGTTACTATAAAAAATCAAAACGACGGTGGGGGGCAGTGGTAGGCAAATGACATAACCGGTGTTGCGGCTTAACACTGGTATAACCGAAAACACCGCCTATCGCAGCAAGCCTATCAATAACATGAAGTGCATTAAACATTATATTGCGTCAAGGTTTCCTAAACTGGGTTTGTAAAGGAACTGCAGGGGGATTACGAGTTTAATGAAAAGCTAATAATTAATTAAATCATGAAAATGTTTAATGTTTTTAAATGTAATCTAATTACAAGTACTTAATTTTTGGAATCTGATTACGTAATCCAGATTACGTGTAATCATTTACTACCCAGCTCTCTCTCTGTGTGTGTGTGTATACTGTGTATATATAAGTTCTTAAATCAGGGCACAAAGTCTTAAATTCATAGTCACAGCAATAATATTACATACACTGCAAAAAATTAATATCTTCCTCAGTGATGCAAAATGAAAAAATGAAGTCTTGTTTTTCTGAGAAATTGAACAAAATTGAGTTTATGCTTAAAACAAGAACAAATATCATTGGGGCATGAAAACTTCCTTCCACTTTAAATTAAGTGTATTTTTCTGACCTTATTGGCAAACTCTCTTCGTTTTGATCAATTTTAAATTAGCCTGCAGTAACCTCTCTCTTTCTCTCTGAAATTATGGATGGAAAGACATGGGCTAAAACTGAAATATTACTGTGAAAAACTTAGTTTAGCTGGAGGCTTATTCGTATCTTAAAGTGTCTTTATTTTTTTCTATCACAGGAGGTTCAGCCCTCATCGGAGTCCTCGACCCGGGACCCGTCTGAGCTTCTGCCGAGGCTGTGTCATCTGGTGCGGTCTGAGACTGGTTACGGCTTTAATCTCCACAGCGAGAGGTCCAGACCGGGTCAGTACATACGAGCTCTGGACCCCAGCTCGCCCGCTGACCGCGCAGGACTCAAACCTCAGGACAGACTCATAGAGGTGAGATCTGATTCTGATTCTGCTGAAACCACTGTTCAGCTCTGTCTTTATAACTTTATTTAACTTTCAAAAATTAGTTCTGTTAATCAGAATTTTAATTGAATTTGTTTTTCTAGTTCTATGTAGGGATTATGCAAGATTTTTTAAATGAAAATTAGCATAAAGAGTGTTTTTAAAGAATGTTTTTTTTGTTTTTGTTTTTTCATTTTTGAAAAATCATCATTGAGAATAATGGGAATTATGACAAAGTAAAGCAAGACTTCCTTAATTTTCATGCAAACATTGTCGCAATGCAAAAAAAGCTGAATGGTCCTTAAAAAAAGCCTTTATTTTATATAATTTCTTATTTCTTTAATTTGATTTTGAGGTGAAATATGGCCCTGACAGCATGATCTTGACCAGTTTTGTGAGTCACCAGTTCAGAGAAACTTTCTCCCCCATTGCTCTCCACCGTCAGCAGGGTTTAAATTGGGCCGGGGCCGTCCAGGGCTCCAGGGCTCGACATAACGCTTCATTAACGCCAGACAAGTAACATGATTAAAACATCAGCAACCAAAAATAACTATGTAAACATTTATTTATTACATTTAGAGTAAGTGGTGAATAGTGGGTATCTAATGTATATAATGCATCTATTGACAGTATAAGGTTGCGCTGCTGAGGCGAGGCTCCCGCAGCCTCTCCAGGAGAAATCAAAACGCCCAACACTAAGAAACTCAGCATCCTGAGGTAAACATTCAAAATGGAAAGTTTTTATATTTAAAATACAGTTAGTTAGGCAACATCACACAACGTTTTCACTATTACGACTGTTTAATAGTTCTATAAACAGTTCAATAAGCAAATACAATAATATTAGGTCACTTACATTTTAGGCAGAAACAGCGCATCTCACAGCAACCAGCCGATTTCATTGCTGATTGGGTCCGTGTTTTGAATGAATCGGTTGAGTCAAAGTTTCATTAGCCCATGCAGAAACATCTGATGAATCTGCCGTTTGAACGAATAGTTTGAATGAACGCCTCAATGACTCACTCATTAAACGCTCACTACTGGCACCTACTGGCATTTTAATTTAGTTGAAAAGTATCATTTCCACCATAATTTCTTGTTTGTATATTAAAAAATATTTAAAATAATCTCATAATAATTATTTAATGCAGTTGTATTTTTCAGTGTCAATGATTTCATTTGATAACGTATAGATAATCACATTATTATAATTGAATTTATAGATCAAATGAAAGTAATTTGAAATTAAAGTATTAATGAGATTAGTGGGAAAATGCCCTCTATATAGGTTAAAAAAATGCCCTTGGATAAAATATAAAAAAACACGCAGATTTATGTCACACCTGATAGAAAACCGATGAGAATATTGCTTCCGAATAAATAATATTTGCAAAAAAACAACACACACACACACACACACACACACATATATATATATATATATATATATATATATATATATATGCTCGATACCATAGAGCCGCCTCACATAACAAATCCCAATTTAACCCCTGACCGTCAGTATAAGAGTGAGAGTCCTGCCCCCTTGAGTTTTCAGAGACGCACCTCAGGACACTGATACCTGAAACCCACCGGGCTGCTGTTAATATTTGATGCTGTTCAGCTGAGTACAGCACACGCTCCATCTGTCCTCGGGACAAACACTCAGATGAAATCACCTTCAGCAGAAGGGGAGCGCGGGCGGCTCTTGTGCCCTTGTTTTTGTTTTGATTGATTTGGTTGTAATTTCGGTAAAAAGTCTTCCTCACCGTCTCTCCTCTGTTCGGCTTGTTGGGAACCTAATTATACCACAAAACATGTTGCTAAGCAACCAATAGCAGGGCACTATAAGGCAAAACTGACTGAACAGGTTTATCAGGGATAAATAAAGCTTTTACATATGATTAAAGTCACTGAAGCTGAAGTGAGGATTCTCCCCAGAATAATCTACTGATGAAATGTTTTTATACTGTAGATCATCACTGTAACTCTACTCTCTTTTAATGTTTATGAAAAAGCAAAAATAAACCATGGCAAATGGCAATACTAACCATTTTTTGTACCAGGATGTAGTACAATACCATTTAAATACTTTGTGAATTCAGTTATAAAATTAGATGAAAATAATATATATTTTTTTTATATTATACAAATTATTTAAAAATATTTATCAAAAATTTTGACATCAGGGTTTGGTATGGTTTCAGTACAGCAAGGGGAAAAACTAAAAAGATATATATATATATATATATATATATATTAAACATTAGACAGTGGTTTACTGAACAAACTGCTCTTTCTTTAAATAAATTCAATTAAATTCAAATTTTCTTGGGGATAAAAATCTACCTCAGCTTCTGCTCTAAACGATAAACTATCTTTTAAGTTACTGAAGGTTACAATTAACAACAGAGCCTAAACTTAATTTAATTACTATTTATTTTTAAACATAACAATCAACACTCAGCTTTTTAAAAAAACAACTGCAAACATAAGCATTATGCAGTTTTTAAATTACCTTCTAAATGATCAAATTTCGATTTGTTGTTGAAATATATTCATTTACACAGTGGTTGTCATAACTTGTTTCGTAACAGATTTAATTAAACATACATTAAATAAGACATCACTAACAGGTCAAATATAATGAGAATATGCTCTAATATTTCACAAAAAGCTCTTCTCTGTACTTTATTTCTCTAGCAAATAATGAGCTGTGGACACTGATGACTTGCCTGAGGTAGGCTTCTATACAGTAATCAAAGAGCATCAAAACGGCATTTATTGTTTGAATTTCCTGAAAAAAAATGGACATAATTTGAAAGATGACACTTTATTTCTTAACAAAAGTTCAAATATATAAAACTGTGAGTTTCCAGTGAAGTTCCACTCATGCAGTGGTTAATTTGTGTACTCATGCAGTGTATTTTTTCGGGTACACATGCGTACCGAAAACCTTTTATTTGTCAGTAAACATAAGAATCATTGAATAAAAGCTGTGTGTGTGTGTGTGTGTGTGTGTATACATTAAATAAGACGTCACTAACAGGTCAAATATAATGAGAATATGCTCTAATATTTCACGAAAAGCTCTTCTCTGTACTTTATTTCTCTAGCAAATAATGAGCTGAGGACACTGATGACTTGCCTGAGGTAGGCTTCTATACAGTAATCAAAGAGCGTCAAAACGGCCTTTATTGTTTGAATTTCCTGAAAAAAAATGGACATAATTTGAAAGATGACACTTTATTTCTTAACAAAAGTTCAAATATATAAAACTGTGAGTTTCCAGTGAAGTTCCACTCATGCAGTGGTTAATTTGTGTACTCATGCAGTGTATTTTTTCGGGTACACATGCGTACCGAAAACCTTTTATTTGTCAGTAAACATAAGAATCATTGAATAAAAGCTGTGTGTGTGTGTGTGTGTGTGTGTGTGTGTGTGTGTGTGTGTGTTGGAGTAATAAATCCAACATATACAATTTAAAAGTTGTTGCCATTACCATGATAAATATATAATATATATATATATAGTGCACAAAATGCATTTAATGACAAATACTCAGTATTTTATGAATACTGTAATATGGCTGTTTGAAAGTGTTATGTGTGTATTTATATTTTGTAGTTCTCGAGGGAAAGCAGCAGTCATCTTCTCGACCCGTTTGAAGAAACAGGTCTATGTCTGAGCCCCACTGCGGCGGAGGCTAAAGAGAAAGCCCACGCCAAGCGCACCAGAAAGAGAGCGCCCCAGATGGACTGGAACAAGAAGCATGAGATCTTTAGCAATTTCTGAGTCTTCCTCCCAGAGCCCCGGACACGTGACTGCTTTTGATGAAAAAGAGGCACCTATTTTTGTAGAAAATGAAAACTTGAAGCATAAAAAGTTGAAAAACACACCCAGAGGGGATGATATGAGTTACGTCTTATGAATGGCTAAGAAAGTCACAAATCGATGGTCTTGCTGCTCGTATCTGCGTCATTTCGTGTTCATGCTGTTTATTCAATATAGCACGTTGACAATAACGTACAAAATGGAGTACAAACGCCAAATGAGACTATAATACAGAACAGCATATAGACTGTGCTTTTGCAGAACTCGACTGAACAAAATAATGTTATTCGATTCAGGACCAAATGAATGAAGCTCCTTTTATGTCGTACATGTTAAATGTGAATCATCTGAAGAATTAGAATTGTTCTTTTGCCAAAGACACAACCTATAATCGACCTGATCCACTGATGTCTTATGAGTTTCAGTTGCTTTGAAGGGACGTACGTTTCACTGTTGGACATCCAGTTTCTAGGAATTACTGAGATTTCAAAAAAGGAGAAACTGGAGTGACCCAGAAATGAGAATCTGCACTTCTTCAACACTAGAGGACGCTGCTTGTCCACACTTGGGCTTCATTATGAACAAAGCAGAACATGTTGAACCACCAGAGGGAGCATCGCAACACGTGCTGCTTTCTTACTGCTCAGTTGACTGCAAGAGAAGCGAAACTTCTGCATCGAACAAGTGCAAAGTTGCAAGATAGGCCACAAAGAGTCCTTGTGTATTTACAGTGTAGTGTCTACTGGTGCATTCTGGGATGTGGATACCGACAGACAGGTGGCATGCAAGAAGTCACAATCATGCAAAGCCGAATCGGTTCAGGAAGCAAAACGAATCTAAAGTAATATACCTCGTAAAACAATAAAGAGTAACACATGCCTTATCTACAGAGGAATGAGTTTGAGGAACAGACAGTATTGATGCGGTGACTCATCTCTGGGTTGTCATAACTGATTCTGGATACAAGATTCCCACCTTTATTCATTAGAATTTTAGTAATGCAGACAATCGCGCGCTATATGCATTTACAGCACACATATTGTGATATATAACATCAGCATTACTATTATTCATCTTAATAATTCATGATACGTTCCATGTTTGCAATTTAGTATTAATGTAGTCAAGTAGTTTCAGGTTTTTTCTCTTCTGTTGCTCCCCTACGCCGACATTGAGCAGTAATGGGAAATCACTTCCTGTCCGAAATATTCTTATTAGTATTATTTTTTTCAATAAAGTGTGACAATCACATTCCGAATGAGACTGACGTGTTCATTTGAATGCATTCATCAGCAGAAAGTTCCACTGAGCACTTTCTTTTATTTGTTAAGTAGGTTGTGTTTTATTTATAGAGAATTGTTGTAAAGCTAGGCAAATGTTTTATCAAATTTAATAAACGACAAATCTATCAAATTGTACTATAGGCTGGTCACTATACATTTGGTAATAAATGATTAAATATATTAAAACACATAGAAGTTTTTAAATTCTGAACATCACTTTTGCTGTCATTATTATATCAGTAACTGTATTTGTTAATATTTGATCAATTAAATATTTACTAATATTCGTTAACACTATTTTTACCCATTTTGTATTTAAATTTCTCTGATAAAAATTGAATGTTTATTGTCATCTGTTAATGGGCAAAGCAGATGTGCCAATAACAAGCTTATTATTATACTATTTATAAATTAAATAGTAATCCTAATATGTAGTTGGTAAGTTTTCATTAAAAGAAATTTATATATATATTAAGTATTTTATTATATATTTATTATATACATTTTTATGTGAAGTATTGTAGTTGTATTTATTGATATACAGTATATTCAAAAACATATATATATATATATATATTCCTTACCTATATTCTAATCTTTGCTTGCAGCGCTTACAATATGAGAAAAAAAAGATATGTCATAAATGTGTGGTATATTTTCCTCTGAGTGCTGCTTGTCCATGGAAAGGTCCGTGATGCTTTTCCGTTGCTAAGGTGTTCGGACTTTTTGTTGTGTTGCATCGCGGTTGCTAGGGTTTTTTGTTGGGTTGCTAGGTGGTTCCTTAGCGGCCTAAATCAATAGAGCCCACCTCCAAGTCTCCAAAATATTCTGCTCCTTACGTATGTGTCCATCAGTGCTATGGGACTTATCATGGGCCAGGTGGAAACTAAGTCAGATCACTCTGAAAAAATAATAACCCACCTCATCTCAGCAAGACACATGATTTGAGCAATCATTCATGTAGCACAAACACTCATTTTAATTTCCTAACCACAAGTATGAGCAATAGTAATAGTGATGCTTGTATAACACCACTAATAATATAATCCATAATGATTCACTCAAATCTCGCGCTTTGTTGATTAGGTTACAGTCATTTCTGTTCTCATTTTCCCCCCCTTCTTATGTCTACATGGTTCGATCGCTGTCAAATCTGTCAATTTTTCTCCCCATATGTCATACAAACCCCGCAAATACTCCTCCATTCATTTTCATTGACACTTTTCACGCAGCTTCTAGACGTTCACTCATTGTGAGACACTATAGGTGTAAGCAAACATGTCCGACCACGACCCGGTGACACCCTATGAGCAATAAATGATATGTGAGCGGATCTCTCAGGCTTTAGATTAGAGACAGGAGTGTCTGTTTGCACTGAGGAAACCTGAGCAATATAATCATATAAGAAAATAAAAATAACTGATCTCATAGTGGACTGTGCAGACAATCTGATAACAAAGCAATAATCCTTCTGTTGCACTTTTTAAATTTAGCATGCAATGAGAAGACGATCAGTGCATGTGCCTGACAGGGTTTGTGTGTCTTTTGCTGAACAAAAGAATTCGCTCATAATCTCTGAAAGCACTTTAAACTGAGAACCGTACAAATGCAGTTTACAGTCATGCATGTAATGTTTTAGTGTAAAATTGTTTGATTATGCATTAGATGAAGTGTCTGTGTCTGTGCTCAAACGCTCTCTCACTAACTTTTACATTTCTTCGTCATTGTTGGTGGTTTGTTATGGGTGTATGAAGACCTCAGGTTTACACACGTAACCACAGGTGTAGTTCACCATCATCACATACACTTTACTAACACTTTACAATCACAAAATGTTCATAATACTAGTGTATACACAATACACATACAGGTCCATTTAAATGTATTATTCACATAATGTTTTACCTATTATTTTAGTACTTCAAATGTTTTGCTTGTAAAGTTTATTTTACAATTCAGTTCATTTAAACAATATAATTGAATATAATTATAAATATCTCAAATATATATTTAAGAAATATTAAATTAAAATAGGAGAATTGTAATTATAATTCAAATATAATAAATATTTTAATGAAACAAAAAAATGTCTTTGACATTTTAAACGTATGTTTTTAATAAAAAATAATATTAATATTCTTTTATAAATGAATGCAATAATATCCGTGCATAATTAAGTGTTCATACTTTCTGGAGCCACTGCACCCTTAATTACACACTTTCTAAAGTTAGATCCTCTTTTGCCCCAAGAGTAGCTAGAATTTTTAGTTGCATGGATTCAACACGGTGCTGCAAACATTGCTTCAGGCTTCGGGTTGGTGAGGTGACTCTTGACTGAGCATTTATATGATATATAATAATCTATATAATTAGTTTGAAAGGTTCACAAATACACCAGGGGGTACATTAAGATGAACAAAGAAATAGTAAAACCAAAAGATAGAATTAAATATTATTATGTGACCCTGGACCACAAAACCAGTCATAAGTGTCAATTTTTTATTTATTTACACCATCTGAAAGCTGAATAAATAAGCTTTCCATTGATGTATGGTTTGTTAGGACAATATTTGGCCGAGATACAACTATTTGAAAATGCAATCTGAGGGTGCAAAAAAAAAAGAAACGGAACATGATCTTCACTTAATATCCTAATGATTTTTTGGCATAACAAAATCGCTCATTTTGACCCATACAATAGGCTATATTTTTGGCTATTGCTGCTACAAATATACTGGTTTTGTGGTCATATATATATATATATATATATATGGGTCATTTTGGACATTTTGCAGCTTTCTTATTTATTTATTTAACTTTTTTAGATATTGCTGAATTTCTGAGTTTAAAATAAATAAATAAAAAAGGCTAATTTCCCTGAGAGTTTAAAGTTAAGCCTATATACTACATGTAACTATCACAAGTAGCATTACTTGTTATAGCTGATAGTTACATTTAATAGGCTTTAGTTAATTAAATAGGCTAATATTCCTTGTGAAAAGACACAAGTGAAGAGACCCCATATAACACTTCAAAACACAGTTGAAAGCTGAGCAGGAGCCTTAAATAAATGAACAGAAATATAACCAAGAATAAACCGAATGATGATGACTCGTTGTTTCTGCAGCATAATTAAACGGCTTTGCAGACTCGCGATTGGCAGAATACATACTAGCGTTACTTGTAGTCTTCCTATATTTGTCAAATTTAGCGTTCAAACTAGTTTATGGTGATAAGTAGTACTCCCACAGTATTCTTTGAAGCACTAACCGATTCCAGCGCGTTACCTTTCGTCAGTGAACGGCAGCTGCTGCCAGGGTTGCCAGGTTTTCACAGCAAAACCCGCCCAATTGCTTCTCAGAACTAGCCCAATCGTGTTCCGCAGGGGAGGGGGGGAAACCACGGACTTGGCAACACTGGCTGCCGCCGCTAATACCGGAGCGAGAGGGCTGCAGCCTGCGTCTCCATGGCGACGCACTGTTTTTGTTAACACGCGCGTGAGTCAGAGCAGCAGTGAGTCACAGTCAGGAGGAAATTCTCTCTGTTCTCGATTCACGCAACCACACACTCTCACCGAAGCCAAATAAGGACAACAGCTCGGAGAGAGAGACGGGAAATCTGCCCTGTCAGTGGCCGGCTGCGAGTTTGTGAGCGAGGGGAGGGGAAGGGTCACACCTCAGTTTGCTGGCCAAACAGCTCGATTTAGGTGATAATATTTCACTCGACGAGTCGCATCGCAAACGGTTTAGCAATTTCGCGATGATAAAGTGGCCTTCAGCTTTTGTAGTGCAACCCCAGCCCTTTTTGTTGGTTTTTA